AATAATAACTTTTAGTAGAAAATCGGAAAGTATTAGATACAGGTACGATATTAATAATATTGAACTTGAAAAGTGTATGCAGTTAATGGATCTTGGTGTTGTTATGGATTGCACGCTCTCGTTTGTACGTCATGTAAATTATGTTGTGAATTCAGTTATTAAAATGCTAGGTTTTTATTACTCGTACACGACTCAATTTAAAAATGTAAATTGTTTAAAATAGTTGTACACATCATTAGTGAGAAGTTTGTTGATATTTTTGTAAATGTGTCTGAATTTATACAAAATGCTAGAACAGCTTTGTTACATTAGACTTTAGACAAACTTTTTGTTTATTATTTTTTATGGCTTATTTTGCATTCTTAATTTTGTTTGTAATGAATTATTTACCATCTTGGATTTTATGTGATATATATATTGCCCTATAGAACAATAAAGAACCCATAGGCAACATAGAAAAATTTCGAACAGAAGCCATTGTATTCAACCTTCAATTCAAGCCTATAAATATAGGAAGCAAAAATGGCAGTAAATTGCAGAAAACCCCTATTTGTTCAATTTTTCAATTAATGTTTTATGGCAAACCGACAAAAAACGAAAACGCAGAAAGATTTGTAGATCTATTCACGCAAGATTTGCAACTTGATACTTATTTTCAGGTAATGAGAAACCGTTTTGTGTTAATCTTATTTGTTTTATTGGTTAGACATATAAAAAACTATCGATTACACTTTAACCGCCATTACACTGATTAATGGACAAAGTTTATGAAAATCAAAAACCGATATTATTCGATGATTTCCGCATTAGTGGCCATGTCGTTAATGATTCCTACCAAAGACGACGATATTCTTTTTTTTCTCTTCAAGCTATCAAACGTGTATCTGTCAAAATGGAACATTTTTTTTTTTAATTCTTTGCAGGTGTTTCGCTCTTCTCTTAACTTACGTGGGCGCGACTATAGCTTGCTTCAACTTATTGTACCCATTTCAAGTTGTCAATCTTCAAGTTCAGAGGTGTTTGCAACAAATAAAAAAAGCTAACGCTACAGTTGCAACGGACCAGAAGGAAATCACCAGAAATCTGAAAAGTTTGCTAAATTCCGGTCCGTTCATCGCGAAGTAAGTAGCGTTAAAAATGAGTATTTTCTGATGAAAATCTGATATTTTTCATTAGTGTATGGGAAGTATCAAAATGGACGCAGTTTATAATTTTGCCTGTGAAAATTATGGGTTCTGCACTCTTGATGAGCATCTTCGTCCTTTACTTTCGGGTAAAATCACAGTTTCTTTTTTTTAATGAAAACCGAATTAGTTTGAGGGTTCGCTAAGGGATCAGTACTTGCGTATCTGCGCCATTACGCTTATGTCGTTTACTGCACTCTTGGGAACTGCATGTGTTGGTCAAGCAATTGAAGATTATGTAAGGAAAGAAAATACTCTGGCCAGAATGTTTACAATTTTTTGACGTTGAAAACAGATTAATTTATTTCATTTTAATTCGACTGAAACGTTTCTCTGGCTTGTGTCAAAAATTTGATTTTTTGATATATACAATTTTTGTAGACGACTGAAATACTCAACGCTTTAGTTGAAGTCGAGTGGTACGACTGGGACGAATCCAACAAGAAAATGTATTTGATGCTGCTGATATCTTTGTCGAAACCGATTAGCGATTAAAATAAAATTCTCCGAAAATATTTCCGTTAATTACGAAATGGGGGTCCAGGTGAGTATATCACGTGAATGAAAATACTGGCGAAAATTAAGTTATTTGATTACAGATCGCAAAAACTTTTTTCTACACGATTTCCGTGATGGAGAGTTTGCATAAATCAAAATCGGGCAGATTTTGAATGGGCTTTTTTATCAATTTTGAGATTAATTAACTTTTAACTTATTTATAGCTATAGTTTCCTAAAACTTTGTTAAATAATTTTTTGTATTTCGATAACTATTTTTCTGAGAAGTTATCGATACGTTATGGATGTACAATGAAAATTTAATTGAAGCAGGCCTTGTAATTATTATTTGTCGTTTATTTGTAACAGGGTAATTATTTCCGAAGACTAAATGGGAATACGCTTTGTTTCATCATTCCACTTTTCTTCTCGCTCTTCCTCTTCTTCTATTTTCTCTTGTCACTATTTCCCATACCAATTTTACTGTCTTGTTTTCGATCGTTCACATTACACGTCCGAACCATCTTAGTTGATTTGTCAAAATTTTTTGAATAACACTCCTCTCTTTTAGAACTTTTTTAATTATTTCACTTTTGACTATATCACTATAATTGGTTCAAAAGCGGAATTGTAGCAGAAAACCAGTAAACCCTAAACGACTGTCTTGCGTGCCTCTACTTGAAACTTAATCTATCGTTAAGAATTAATATCCATGTTAATTATTATTTATTAACTCATCAATGACGAAGGCCACATATAATGACTAGTCAATCTAATATTATCATTAGAGAGCGGATTTCTAGGTTTAATGCTTTTTGTGAAAAATGTAAGCACTTCGAAACTTTTTTATATCTGTAACTATGATACAATTTGGAGCATTTGACACATTTTTTTTAATGCTTATTTGCTTTTTTTTCAATTTTATGCATATTAAAACTTATATGCTTATTTAATGCTTTTTTCGACGAATATGAGTTTTAATGCATATTTTGTTCAAATGACGGCCTTGTCGGGATGACAAATATTTGTTAGTTAGCCGCAACCATCGTATGCATTTTACCTGGACTTGACCTTTGAAGTATACTTACTCAAGACCCTTTCTGTGAATAGGTTCCGGTGGTTTGGGTAATAAAATTTATAAGATTGGAAAAATACTCCATAGATTTAATGACTTTAAATCCTTACTTCCGTTGATAATGAATTAAAGCTTTTAACCAGATGTTCTTTTTCGGCATTTTGCGGCAAGACTGTTGAAGATTTTCTAGAAAAAAAGATTATTGTACCCAACTACCTACCTTAAAATTTTTCTAATTGAAACTTTTAAGTAAAAGAACCGTTTATTTCACAAGCATCAGTCTATCGCATCTGTCGTAGTACAGTGTTATACGTGGATCTCCCTTGTTACATGTTGAGTTCTTTTTGGTATTATTACTAATATTTTAAAAGAAGGCCGAAAGTAAAATCGACGCCGGATGAGTGGATAAGGGATTTTCCAGAATTAAAATTAGAAAACAACAAAATATTCTGCAGAGTTTGTGTGAAAACCGTAAGCCCACTAATTTTTTTTTTATCTATTTTCCTTTGTTAATCCTGTATATGTAGGCAACATGTCAAAACGACTCTTCATGTAGAAAGGAAGAAAATGTTTGAAGTTTCTAAAATTAAACAGCAGACCCTACATGAATCTGTTGCATCTACTTCCACAAAAGATGAGCAGTTTCAGTTTAATTTTGATTTATGTAATATGATGATCCACTCCAATATACCTTTAAAAAAATTGGAGAAAGGCCCTCTTCAAGAATTCCTTGAAAAAAACTGCAATCGACATATTCCGGTTGAGAGTACTCTCCGAAAAAATTATGTAGACCCAGTGTTTCAGCAAGCTTACAACGAAATTAAACATCGCATTGGAGATAATTATTTATGGTTCGCTGTCGATGAAACAACCGATGGTTGTGGAAGATACGTGGCAAGTTCAATTGTTGGAATCTTAAATGAAAATTTCCCTAGTCGAGGGTATGTAGTAAGTTTGAAAATGTTAGATAAAACAAATGGCAATACGATTACCAGATTTGTAAGTGACAGTCTTAAGTCACTATTTTTGTCAAATGCCGTACCGGCGAATAAAATTTTATTGATGATCTCCGATGCAACTCGTTATATGTTGAAAGCAGGGAATAATCTAAAAATATTGTACCCCAATTTAATTCACTCTACTTGCATTGCCCACGGTTTAAACAGAGTGGTTGAAGGAATACGTTTGCAGTTTCCTACTGTTAATAAATTAGTGGCAAATGGTAAAAAGATTTTTGTTAAAGCCCCACTAAGAGTGCAACATTTTAAGGAAAAAATTCCAAACATACCATTGCCCCCAGAGCCGATTGTAACGAGGAGGGGAACATGGTTACAGGCCACACAAATATATCAAAGAATTTGAGGAAGTAGTTACGGAGTTTAAAGAAGATTCTTCTCAATCGATTAAAGATTGCATAAATATTTTGGAAAACAAAGATTTGCGACAAGATCTAGCTTTTCTAAGAAGCAATTATCAATTCGTATGTGAGGTAATAGAAAAGTTAGAAAAACCCAACATGTTGTTGGTAGATGCCATAAACTTAGTGAAAGAATTTAAACAACAAGCAAACGCAGTAAGGGGTGATATTGGTACTAGAGTATCTCAAAAACTTGACGAAGTGTTAAATAAAAATGCAGGTTTCGGTGTTCTTTCCGACGTTGCTCGTGTTTTACAAGGCCAGAAGGTGGAAAATTTGGAGTTAGATTCAACATTAGTTGCAAAATTCAAATTTGCACCAACAATGAGTGTGGATGTTGAAAGCACATTCTCCAATTTTAAACACATTTTAAATGATCGGCGAAAAAATTTTACAGTGGACAACTTGGAACATATTACAATCATAAATTGTTTTAAAGAAAACTGAAATACGTGTGTAAAATATAAAGTCTAGGATTATTGTAATAATATTTTATCCAAAGTTCTAAGAAGTGTTCTTTGATTTGTAATATGATTATGTTTTTAATGCTTTTTTGCTTAAAATAAAACTTTTTTAATGAAAGTATTATGCTTATTTAATGCTTTTTTGCTTAAAATAATATATACATTTTTATTGAACATGTTGTGCTTATTTAAGCGCTTATTTTTAATTTTTTTGTGCTTATAAATCCGCTCTCTAATTATCATTATCAATCGTTCCACGCAACACAATCTCGAACGTCGTGTTTACGCAACAAGCAAATATCTCTTGATAATGAACAACATATAAAAACAAACATTCAATTTTCAAGTTCATTCTGTAACAATTACTGCTCCACTGTAGGTCCACAACAAGAAACGTAAACCATATCGTTTTCATTGTATTTGTTCCAGATGATCTTCATTTACATAGTTTGCTTTCTGTTCCTGTTCTACTACCTCTTAACCAAAAACTATGGCTACTGGGAATCGAAAAACATCCCCTACGAAAAACCAGTTTTCCTTTTTGGAAGTTTCTACAAAATAGTGACGCAACAACAACACCTTTTCTACCGAATTCGTGAAATATACAACAACTTGAAAACTCCGTACTGCGGCATCTACATCTTCAACCGCCCAATCCTAGTCATCAGAGATCCACAACTGATCAAAAAAGTGTTGGTAAAAGATTTCGAGAAATTCATAAATCACCAAGTCGCCTCCAACGAAAAAGCGGATCCTCTATCGTACCACAGCCTTTTCGGTTCACAAGATCAGGTGTGGAAAAACCTGCGCGTCAAACTTTCCCCGGTTTTCACTTCAGGAAAAATGAAGCTGATGCTGCCGCTGATGAAAGAATGTGCTTCTGATTTGGCCGTTTGTGTGGAAAAACACAGTGGTGATAAAATCGAGATTAGAGAAATAATGAAAAAATATGCTGTGGATATTATTTCGTCGTGTGCTTTCGGCATCAATTCGTACTGTCTTAAACATGATAAATCGGAGATAATGGAGGTGGCCACGAAGCTTACCGATTTTAAGTCGTTCGTCAGGAATTTTTCAGTGTTTAGTTTCATGTTTATGCCGAAATTCGTTGACATTTTTCGACTGACGTTTCTTGATAAATCTGCCTCCAACTATTTGATTGATGTGTTTAACAACACTCTCAGGGAGCGGGAGAAAAAAGGGATTTTGCGGAATGATTTCATTGATTTGCTCAACAATTTGAAGCAGAATGAGGCTTTTAATGAAAATTATAAATTTGGTATCTAATGTGATGTGTAAATAATCCTGTTATCATTTTATCGAGGTTCACGTTTTAGATGACCTAAAGATGGCTGCTCAAGCGATTCAATTCTTCTCCGCTGGAAACGAAACGACGTCTTTGACGTTAGCATTCACTATGTATGAATTGGCAATAAACAAAGACGTACAATATCGACTAGGCCAAGAAATCAAAGAAACTTTCAACAAATATGGTGACTTTACGTACGAAGCGATTCAAGGGATGACGTACCTCGACATGGTTTTAAATGGTTTAATTTTTTTAACTAATTGTAACCCAAGTCTACATGTTGTGGTTTCAGAGGCACTGAGAAAATATCCCCTTACTAGTTTCTTGGATAGAAAATGTGAAGACACTTACACTTTTGAAGACACTGAGTTAACGCTTGATAAAAATGTTTCGATATTAATACCAATTGCTGGGCTACACTACGACCCGGAATATTTTCCTGATCCGGAAAAATTTGATCCTGAGAGATTTAGTTTGGAAAATAGGTATAAAATAGTACCTTATACGTTTTTACCTTTTGGTGATGGTCCAAGAAGTTGTATTGGTATGTATTAAAAGTAGAGAAAATATTTTCGTGTGCTATAGTTGCGATTACAGGACAAAGATTCGCAATTCTGGTAGCCAAAGTAGCGTTGGCTTACTGTTTGAAGGATTTTGCTTTTGACGTAGCGGACAATACAAAAGTACCGCTTGAATTGGATAATGGTGTAGCATTTTTAATGAATAAAGGTGATCTTTACCTAAATGTTACAAAATTGTAGTCAGTTGACTTTCAGAATGTTTTTTTGTAACGAAATGTATATTTTTTTATTAAAATATGAAACCATCAGATTTGTGTTTTTTCTTTATTTTACACAAAAACTAAGTCGTTAAATCACATGGATGGAGATCGGGTGAACGCGCAGGCCAAGCTATTGCGCCGTTTATGCCGACCTACTAGATCTGAAAATGATTTATTTAACCATTCAGTTACTGGTAGTAAAATGTAGTGGTGCTCCATCGTGAAAGTACCACATGCGAACTCGTTGACCTACAGGCACTTCTGCATCTAGCTGCTCCTCCAACACATTGTTTAACAACTCGAAGTACACTACAAACTGTGAAATTACAAGTCGGTGAGTGCTGATGTTGGGCTCTTCTTCGACGCGTTCTAAAATTGATTCTTCAGCTTGCAAGATTATTACGATCCTATCACGGCCACGATCGTGAGTTTGAGACTTGAAGGTACCATAATCTCGTAGATGTTGTACCACTGATATAAATGTTCGCGCTATTTGGAAATTGGTCTAAATAGGAAAAAGTCACTATTGTCAAAGCTCTTATCCTGTTTTTGCCCGTTGCTTATCAGTGTCCAGCTTTTTTGGTTCTTAATCCTAGTCGTTCTGTGCCATTCATTGAATAGTAGTTATGACGGGTCAAGAAATACGAAATACTACAAGTAGCGTTATATGTATTTAATTTCAAATAATTTGTCCTAGACATTGCTACCACTTTTGAACGTTAACTTTTCACAGGGCAATAGATCTTATTGTGAACTATTCTCCATTTTTCTTATTGCTCATTGTATATCCTTCCATGACTTTGAGGAACTCTTCTTGTTATTTTTGGTTTTATGTTTTCTTAGTGCTTTCCTGTTTCTCTTTTTGAGACGTAACATTTCTTATTCCACCAGTCATTTTTTCTTCATCCACTTGTACTTACACTAATTTCTATCTTCATTTCTACATCTTTTATAAGTTTTTCCAATTCATCCCATTTTGCTTGCGTTTTTGTTTTAACGAAATTGTGCGCTCTTAGCTTTTCTTCGTATGCTCTTGTTTCTGTTTTCTGTCATATTCTTCCATTTCAACCTCCAGTGTCATATGGTGAAAGTCTATCCTTTCTTTCTATTATTACCGATTGTCCTCTCAGTCCTACATTCGCCTTCATCATCGCCAGTTTTGTGTCCACTCAAGATCTCTCATCCTCTCTCTTCGACTAATTCCAACACTTCCTTTCCTTTCTTGTTTTCACTTTTGTCTTTGGATTTTCCTTTTCCAACATCTTCTGTTTTACTTATTCTTCCCCTTTTTCTTCTATTCTTGCATTGAAAACTGTTATTGAAATTTCCGCCTACAATGGCTGCTTGAAAGATTTCCTTTCTTACTACATTTGTATTCTTCTTATTTACATTTTTATATACATTCCATGTTTGTCTCTTGTTGTATTCCAAGTACAGGAATATGTTATTTTAAAGAATTCACATCGACGGAAGCGGAAAACCAATTTTTTCTACCTTGATTTTCTAATAGAGCTACTAAAGCACCTAAATGGCGTCAAAGCAGTTTGTTAATAGCGGAAAGGGGTTCTGAAATAGATCTGGTGTAATTTAGATCGGTAAGATTGGTAGCCATGACGAGAAATGTCAGGTGAATGTCAATGCCAAATGTCAAATTAAAATTTCCCGTATTTCTGGATGCGTAAGGACTTCACTAACTTCTTCACAAGACCTGTTAACCAATTTTAACTCACAAAACTCGAATTGATTCGAATTACAGTTGTTGTTGTGAAAATTCGAAGTTCAAATATTTCGTGGTCGGTGTTGATTTGTATTAGACAGATAATTTTCTAAACTAGCGGTCCCATTGTTTTCAAATTTTGCACGTATATTAGGAGATCGTGTATGTGATAAACCGCTAACCAAAATTTGTTTGATCTTCCCCACCACCAACACAAGAACGTCATCTTCTAAATTTACAATAGTAAATGTTATTTAACGTTTATAAAGTAACATACGCCCCCACTTGTAGTTATGTTAGTTAATTTAACTTTGAAATTAGAAAATTGAATGCTCCGAAACCTTGCAATCGTTTTAAGGTTATCGGAAACATGGTAAATCGTTAATCAAAATTTATCCGTTTACGACCCCTCCTAAAAACTAATGACTTCATCTCAACATTTTGCCAAATAAATCCTGTCTAAAATGTGCAAAATATAATGTATGTATATAAATATATTTGTTAAAATTGCTTATACAGGCTGACTCAAAAAATTAATGAATAAGTCCATTCCATTTTTTTGAAAATTTGGGAATACCATAGTGTTATTATTAGTACTGCATTGCACTTATCCAAATTAACACACGTGTAATTACAAAAATGTTGACGGCATCACAAAATTTTGTAAAGGAAAAACTTATTTGAAACATATGCGTAGTACGCTTCTTTCAAAAATGAAATTCGCAACATCAAATTTTGTAATTTTTCGAAAAAACCAGATAGTTTTATTGTACTTCAGGGGCGAGGGAAGTTCTTTGAAATAATCTTCGACTAATTTATTTATACAGGACATTATTAAAAAAACAATTGACTTGTTTTATTGTTTTTGAAATTTATCTGGTTGGAACTGAAATTTCGTGAATAAAGTATTTCCAGCAAATTAAATAATAAAATTCACTTTGTAATTACGCTGTGTCAGTTTGAAATAAACATAGTAATTGAATAAAAAACGGTTGATTGTGCTTTCCTTTAACCAAAATTAAATTATTAAAAAAAAAACAACAATGAAAATTTAAACAAGCTCTGATTAGTTGATTTCGGTAAAGGGTACTTGTCGAATAATTGATGAATGACCATTAACAAACTTGCAGTTAGGAAAAATGCAAACAGGAAATCAGTAAACACCAAATAAACATTTAGGTTAATTTATTAATTCATGAAAATAGAGAGTCAGACATAATGACTAGTAAATTTAATATTATTATCGGTCATTCCACGTAGAATAGTGTTTACACAACAAATTACATATCTTTTGATAATGAGTGCATATACAAACAAAAATTCAATTTTCAAGTTCAGTTTATAATAACTACTGATAATTGGTCAACTGTGGGTATAACACGAAAAACCTAAACATTTGCGTATACGTTGTATTTGTTCCAGATGATCTTCATTTACATAGTTTGCTTTCTACTATTATTCTACTATCTCTTAACCAAAAACTATGGCTACTGGGAATCCAAAAACGTCCCCTTCGAAAAACCAGTTTTCGTTTTTGGAAGTTTCTACAAGATAGTGACAAAACAACAACACCTTTTCTACCGAATTCGTGAAATATACAACAACTTCAAAACCCCGTACTGCGGAATCTACATCTTCAACCGTCCAAACCTCGTCATCAGAGATCCACAGCTAATCAAAAAAGTGTTGGTAAAAGATTTCGACAAATTCATGAACCACCCATTCGCTTCCAACGAAAAAGTAGACCCCTTGACGTATCACAGCCTTTTAGGTTCACAAGATCAGGTGTGGAAAAACCTACGCGGCAAACTTTCCCCGGTTTTCACTTCAGGAAAAATGAAGCTAATGCTGCCGCTGATGAAAGAATGTGCTTCCGATTTAGCCGTTTGTGTCGAAAAACACCGTGGCGATAAAATCGAAATTAGAGAAATAATGAAAAAATATGCTGTGGATATTATTTCGTCCTGTGCTTTCGGCATTAATTCGTACTGTCTTAAAAATGATAAGTCGGAGATAATGGAGGTGGCCACGAAGCTTGCGGACTTTAAGTCGTTCGTTAGGAATTTTTCAGTGTTTAGTTTTATATTTATGCCGAAATTCGTTGACATTTTTCGGTTGACGTTTCTTGACAAATCTGCCTCCAACTATTTGATCGATGTGTTTAACAATACTCTCAGAGAGCGTGAGAAGAAAGGGATTTTGCGGAATGATCTCATTGATTTGCTCAACAATTTGAAGCACAACGAGGCTTTTAATGAAAATTATAAATTTGGTACCTCAAGTGATGCGTAAATAGTGGCATATTAGTTTATCGAGCTTTACGTTTTAGATGACCTAAAGATGGCTGCTCAGGCTGTTCAGTTCTTCTCCGCTGGAAACGAGACGACTTCTTTGACGTTAGCATTCACCATGTATGAACTGGCAATAAACAAAGACGTACAATATCGACTGCGCCAAGAAGTCAAAGAAACTTTCAACAAATATGGTGACTTTACCTATGAAGCGATTCAAGAAATGACTTACCTCGACATGGTTTTAAATGGTTTAGATTTTTTTAAGTAACTGTAACCAAAGTCTACATGTTGTGCTTTCAGAGACATTGAGAAAATATCCCCTTACTAGTTTCTTAGATAGAAAATGTGAGAACACCTACACTTTTGAAGACACTGAGTTAACCCTTGACAGAAATGTTTCGATATTAATTCCAGTTGCTGGATTACATCACTATGACCCGGAATATTTTCCTGATCCGGAAAAATTTGATCCTGAGAGATTTAGTTTGGAAAATAGGCATAAAATAGTACCTTATACGTTTTTACCTTTTGGTGATGGTCCAAGAAGTTGTATTGGTTTGTATTAAAATTAGAGAAGAAATTTTCGTGTGCTATAACTGCGATTACAGGACAAAGATTCGCAATTTTGGTCGGCAAAGTGGCTTTGGCTTACTGTTTGAAGGATTTTGCTTTTGACGTAGCGAACAATACAAAAGTGCCGCTTGAGTTGGACAATGGTGTAGCATTTATAATGAATAAAGGTGATCTTTACCTAAATGTTACAAAACTATAGTCTGCCGACTTGCAAAGAATTTTTTTTGTAACGAAATGTATTTTTTTAATTAAAATTTCAAACCACCATATTCGAGTTTTTATGTTTATTTAACATATTAGTTAAGTCTTTAAGTTTGAATTCTTTTGGGTAGATGTTTCTCGTAATCGATTTTCAATTTTTCTTTAAATAAAGGACCAGTTTATAGGAAGTATATATAAGTATATACTGGGTGATTTCGAATTGTATGCAATAATTGTAACCCCGCCATAATGTATCGTAGGAGTATTCAAATATAGAAAAAATACATTAAAAGTCGATTGAGGTAAAACCCCCATCAATCATCCTCGATACGATGTCACTGATCCACCTTTTAAACAGTACGTTGAAAAAGGTTCGAATAATAATGATGTAAACACTTTCAGTTTCAATTAAAGATAAAACCGACGTGTTGCTGGTCACTGCGATCGACTTTTTATTCTGACGAATGCTTGGTCCCTGCCACAAGGATTCCACATTGTTTTTTAGAACAAATATAAAAGCAACTCTTAAAATGCTACTACTGTTTTACAATAAATTTTGAAAATGTTGTCAGGCTTCAGCACGTCGCAACATGTTTTTTACATATCTGTGTAAATACCTTAAAAACTCCGGCAGTTCCAGGAACTGTAACGGCTGCCATTTCCACTCGTTGAAGTTCTTGGATAGTTTATCGACACTGTTGACTTCTATAAACTAACTGTTTCATCCCATCTTACAAACTAATATCACACGGATTGAGATCGTGTGAACGCGGAGGCCAAGTTGCTGGACCGTTTCTACCGACCCACTGGTTAGGAAAACAGTTATTTAACCATTCAATAACTGGCCAAACAAAATGTGGTGATGCTCCATCATGCGAAATCGTTCACCTGGAGATTGTTTGAAAGCTCGAGTTATTGTGCCACGTTTAGTCTATTTGGTAAAACATAAGGTCCCATTTACAACAATACCGGCCCACACATTCATGGAAAATCGTCGTGGAAATCGTACTTCTTGACGAGCGTGGATTTTCATCGGACCAAATGTAAGTGTTGTGGTTGTTGAAAACCAACGATTGATTGCGAGTAAATCGTGCTTCATCCGTAAACAGAATGCAGTTTAAAAAGTTAGGACGTTCACGACATTGCTCTAACAACAGCATCGCAGTGAATTACACCACGTGGAAAATCAATGTGCTCCAAAGCTTGCACTTTTTGGACGTGGTATGAATGTAAGTCTTGTTTTTTTAATGATGTCGGGCTCTTTTCGACGCGTTCCAAAATTTGTTCTTCAGCTTGCAGTATCCTTTCGGTTTGAAGCTCGAAGGTATCATGATCTCGGAGGTGATGTAGAGTAAAATGGCTTAATATCGATTAAAAAACAATTTCTTGTATGTTTTGGCGGTAAACCTAAAACTTTTTGCATTAAAACCAAGTGCGGAGTTTGAGCAACAATGTATATAAACGAAATTTATCAAATCCAAATAACATATAAAAATATTAATTCTATAAAAATGAGTCCCGTTCTCTAACTGAAAAAAAAATAGTAGCAATACCGGATACACTGCCCGATATTAGGAACACCACATAATTTCATCCGTCCAAGCAAAAACACTTTTATTTGTACCAGTTATTAAAGTTGCAGAACCACGTCCGGAGTTTTTCTCACTGTCGCCACATTTGTATTAAGAACTACACGGCAAAGGCAAAATCTCCAGGGACTTAACTCTAGCTCCGGGACATTAGACAATCCGCTATACAATGGTTCTTCTGAAGCGACTGTTGAAAGAATATCTTTTTGGAGAGTCATATGTGTTATTTCTGTGGAATCAAGAAAACTGGAGGGTGTGTGACTTCTTTCTCCCTGATAGATGGTAAACTCATTCCCGAAAAATGTGTCTGTTGAGGGGATAAATAGCAGTTTTTCGGAATCCATTTGTAGCAATTTCGACTGCGGCACATCGTAAATACGGTTTTCCAAGCAACTCACAAACTTGCTAGCAGGAAACGGTTCCTCCATGGTTATTTGAATTTTATGAGTGGAATTGGGTGGAAGTAATCCGTCCAAGACCAACACTACCGTATCAACTTTTGACGGTTTTTACGTGTTTCATAAAATATTGCAACCAGTTAGTAAAAATATAGCCTATAATATGATTAATTTATTTAAATGTACAAAACATCAACAAAATTAAACATTCAGATACTATTTTTCTATCTGTCAACCTTTTTCTAATCAGCCCACTCTTCTTTTTTCAAAACTAAGTTCCGTTACAAGCCTTAAATCCAAGGTGCAATTCTATCTCCACTACAACTCTCATTATTTTTGTATTTTCATCGCTGTTTTCATTTTGTCAATTCTCAGATTACGTCCGTTTATTGTTCCTGCCCTTATATTGTTTTCCTCTTTTTGTTCCTATTCATTAACACATCTTCCCTATTTTTCTGCTTTTCTTTAAAACAGCTTGTTCCTCCTCACTATCCTCTTCTATATCGCTCTTCCTCTTCTTAATATTTTTCTCCTCACCGGTCATTTCCATATTTCTACACCCATCTCTGTCCTTTTCTTAATGCTATGCACTCACATCACGAAAAAAATCGTCAGCTACTCAACCCATTGGACTCCTATCGGTGTTTCTGATTTACGATTATTTACATATGTAGACTGATCGTTTTTCATTTCTTAAGTGAATTATTATTAATTAATCAAAAACGAAAGCCACATATAATGACTAGTAAATTTATATTATCAATCCACGCAGCACATTTCTGAACGCTGTGTTTACATAACAAACAACGTAATATTTGATAATAACTGCATTTAAAGACAAACATTCGGTTTTCGGGACCATTTTGTAATCAAAATTAGTGATAAGTGCTGCGCTGTGGGTATAACAAAAACAGAAACATTATCGTTTCCATTGCATTTTTTCCAGATGTTTTTCATTTCCATAGCTTGTTTTTTGCTCTTTCTCTACTACCTCTTTACAAAAAACTATGGCTACTGGGAATCCAAAAACGTCCCTTTCGAAAAACCAGTTTTCATTTTTGGAAGCTTCTACAAGATAATGACAAAACAACAACAACTTTTCTACCGAATCCGGGAAATATACAACAACTTCAAAACCCCGTACTGCGGAATCTACATCTTCAACCGCCCAAACCTCGTCATCAGGGATCCACAACTGATCAAAAATGTCTTGGTAAAAGATTTCGATATATTCATGAACCACCAAATCGCCTCCAACGAAAAAGTTGACCCTCTGGCCTACCACAGCCTATTTGGTTCCCAGGATGACGTTTGGAAAAACCTGCGCAGCAAAATTTCCCCCGTTTTCACTTCAGGCAAAATGAAGTTAATGCTGCAATTAATGAAAGAATGTGCTTCCGATTTGGTAGTTTGTGTGGAGAAACACTGCGGCAACAAAATTGATATTAAAGATGTAATGAAGAAGTATGCCGTGGATATTATTTCGTCGTGTGCTTTCGGTATCAACTCGTATTGTCTTAAGGAGGAGCAGTCGGAAATAATGGATGTTGCCACGAAACTTACCGACTTTAAGTCGTTTGTTAGGAACTTTTCAGTGTTCAGTTTTCTTTACGCACCGAAATTGGTTGACATTTTGCGGCTGACGATGTTTGACAAAACCGCTTCTGATTATTTGATTGGTGTGTTTAAGAATACCCTGAGAGAACGTGAGAAGAAGGGGATTTTGCGAAATGATTTCATTCATTTACTCAACAATTTGAAGCAGGATGAGGCTTTTAGTGAAAATTATAAATTCGGTGAGTAGCCACTTTATCCTTTTCTATCTCGATTTACTATTTTTTTAGATGACTTAAAAATGGCTGCACAAGCCATAACATTCTTCTTTGCTGGAAATGACACCACTGCTTTTACATTATCATTCGCTATGTATGAATTATCCCGAAATAAAGAAGTACAAGATCGACTGCGCCAAGAAATCAAAGAAGCTTTTAACAAACATGGTACCCTTACCTACGAGGCAATTCAAGACATACCTTACCTCGAAATGGTTTTAAATGGTATTTTTTTTAAGTACCTGTAATCACAGCCTATATGTTGTACTTCCAGAGGTACTACGCAAATATCCCTTTACCATTATCCTGGATAGAAAATGTGACAACACTTACACTTTTGAAGACACTGGATTGACTATTGACAAAAATGTTTCGATATTAATTCCGATTGCTGGACTACACTACGACCCGCAATATTTTCCGGATCCGGAAAAATTTGATCCTGAAAGGTTTAGTTTGGAAAATAGGGATAAAATAGTACCTTATACGTTTTTACCCTTTGGTGATGGTCCAAGAAGCTGTTTAGGTATGTATCAAAAGTCAGAAGTAAAGAAAAATATCTTCATGTGTTATATTTGCGGTTGTAGGACAAAGGTTTGCACTTTTGGCAAGCAAAGTAGCTTTGGCTCACTGTTTGAAGGATTTTGCTTTTGATATAGCAGATACCACGAAGGTACCGCTTGAGTTGGATAATGGTGTACCGTTTATAATGAACAAAGGTAATCTTCATCTAAGTGTTACAAAATTGTAGTTTACTGACTTAATTTTTTTCTGCGGTAATGTATACTTTTTGTTATGCCTAATGTGAGACAAGTGTTAGCTATATATTTAATGTCATTTTTATTACATACATAATTTATAAATAAAAATTTTATTTAATTCTTATTTTTCGCATCATACATATAAAACCAATCCTTCCTCAGTGAACATTTCTAACAATGTCAAACTTAAAAATTTCAAGTAAATAAATATATTCATATTGTTATGATTTTCGGGGATTAAAATTGACGTGGTTAAAACTCAACAATTTCTTTTACATTAATACAAAACTATACTAGACTAGACCAAAATTCCTCCCGACAGTCTGTGATCTCTATTTAAACAGAGGAATGATCGCGAATGCCGCTTTCCAGGTTGTTCTGGAGTCCACCATCGAGATAATAAAACATATTTTCATAAATTTTAATACTTTTTAAAATAAATGAAACGACTGGAGCTATTTTACTTGAAAACGTGGTGGAAAGTGCTGAAGAAGCTCTTCAAGCTCTTATTCCAACCAAGTCGAAAGTAACAGACGAAAAATGTTATAGTGACTTCCAACACTAGCACAAAATTAATAGTTGTGTAGAACTAGTTGATGAAAATGTTCTTCTGGCGTATTTTCAACAGCTTGTAAGTTTATTAATATTGCAGTTAATTTGAACTTTTATTTCATTAAGTATATTGAATTGATTTTTAGTCCACGAAGCACAGTTCTTCATCTCTGTGGGTATATTATTCGATGCTACGATGTGTGGTCAATATCAATAAGAACATAGATAAAAAATGTTATGGCAAGTTATTTGCGTTTAAAAAAAAATGTTGTACATATAGCAAAAAAAGCAACAGTTTTGAAGAGTGATAATCTGAAAATTTTCCTCCAGGACGCAGAGGATGATCAAGTTTTAATGTGCAGGGTAAAAATAAATCGAACTGAAGAATACATGCCTGACGTTTACTTTTGTTTTTAGGAAGTGGCCATTTTCGGTTTATTTGGGGGCACCCGATGAGATGAAATTTACAGTTTATGTACAAAAGATATTAAAAAAGGGGGAAATGTCATAATAGTGACAATTAATCAAACAAAAAATAAATAAAAAAAATATTGTGATAAAATATAAAAATCTGAGACCGAAACATTTTCAACATGATAATTTTTTTGTTTTCTGCAATCGCGGAAAATGTAGTACTCAGAGAGTGGGCGTGGGCATACATAAGATTTCTTCGGTTCCCAAATTAATTGCAACGTTTTTTGAATTCCGCAACTTGAAAAATACACTGGGCACTCTCTTCGACGTAGTTCAGCAACAATTTTGACCAATAAAGGTGACAGTATCACTAATCTGAAAAGATTTTGTGAGTGAAAAAGTTCTGCTACCGCTGAATCATATGTGGAAGAATCAGTGGAATATAAGTTCAATGTTGCTAAAAAAATGCTTGAATGCGAAGCCTCTTTAACTACGACAAAAAATAATTGTAATAATTTAACAATGGAAGAAAACGTTAATATTTAGCACTGATAATGAAAAAGAACATCGAAACCAAAGAAATAACAGAACGAAAGCTAGTAAGTAATTGTACTTAGCCATTATAGAGGCTATGTTAGTGTATTACAGTATTTTTAAATAACTGTGGGAAGTGATTATTTTTGTTATAATGGGAATCGAATTTTAACAGGGGTTGTAAGAATTTAAAAACCTTATAAGAAAATACCGAAAGTGTAGGATACTGCAGTAAATTCCGTTTACAAAGCGGACGTCGTGGGAGTTTGAAACAGACCGGATAGATCTGTGCCATGTTCTAATGGCAGGGAACTAAAAGCTTTTGTAATTCTCTTTTGAATTTTTTTTGCATCGATGTTTCAAGTTTTTGTGCGACACAAGAGGGTAAATGTCGTGAAGAATGGTAAGAACACCATAAATGTCATTAGTATATTCCCTAATAAGACTCAGAATATCCGGTTTTCCAACAGCCTTCTCAAGAAAGGCAACAGTCTCCTCGAAGGTGAGAGGATAGTGAGCATAGTTAATTAGTTGTTCAGCGGGTGCTAGTATTTCAGATGTTGGAATAAGGCTTTCGGTTGAATCGGAAGGTTTAATTTTTTTTCCCAGTACACTCATTCTTAATTTGTCAGTCCTTATTTTGTACTGACAAATGAACTTCGAGTCCAAAATGCCAAAAGCTTTTGTAAATGTCTACGGTTGGATGAAAAAGTATCCCGAAATAGTGTTAGATGAAAATTCTGAATCTGTTTCTTTTTGCAGAGTGTGCCGTAAAAAAGTACTGGTTATGATAAGACTGGTTTTGCCAAATAACATACCCTCTAAGAACATAAAGGGCGGGTGGGCGGGGCTAGTACTTGCCAAAATACGACTGATTTTGGCAAGTCACCTATACTCTAAGAAAATAAAGGGCGGGTGGGCGGGGCTAGTACTTGTCAAGAAAAGACCGATTCTGGCAAATGACCTACTCTCTAAGAAAATGAAGAGCGAGTTGACGGGGCTGGTATTTACTAAGATAAGACTGATTTTGCTAAATGACATACCCCCTAAGAAAATGAAAGGAAGTGGGCGGGGCTAGTACTTGCTAAGATAGGACTGATTTTGCCAAATGATATACCCTTTAAGAAAATAAAGGGCGGGTGGGCGGGGTTAGTATTTGCTAAGATAAGAGTGATTTTGGCAAGTGAACTACTCTCTAAGAAAATGAAAGGCGAGTGGACGGGATTGGTACTTACTAAGATAAAACTGATTTTGTCAAATTACATACCATCTAAGAAAATAAAGGACGGATGGGCGGAGCTAGTACTTGCTAATATAAGATTGATTTTGCCAAATGACATACCTCCTACGAAAATAAAGGGGGGGGGGGGTACTAGTACTTGCTAAAAAAGTAATGTATCCAAATTTTTATCATTGCTATATTTTTTAATTTATCACATTTATTTTCATTAGTTTCAATTTCAAACCATTGCTTTAATTTATGGATATCTTATTGCTTGCAATTAAACGCGAGAATAAAGCATGCACAATATAAATTAATTTTATTGTTCAGGTCGCCTGTGAAAGAAGTTTTCGATAACTCAGCATATTGGGACAAGCCTTCACAAAAATAAACTGAAGAATTCTATTAATGTGAAGTCACAAAGTCTGCTCGTAGAATCTTTCTATAACACCAAGACGATGACAGATCAACAAGAATATTGTTTCGAATTGTGTGAAGCATTCCGCAGTGCCGATATTCGTTTATCAAAACTGAATAACCCCAAGCTACGATCATTCCTTCAAAAACGTACCATGAAGTCAGTTCTCGATGAGAGTACCTTAACAAAAACTACGTGGACGAAGTGGTTTAACAAACAAAGTAGGCTATTCGTCAAATTAAAGGCTATAATCTAATTTATTTTCATGTCGATGAAACAACCGATTCATGTGGACGCTATGTCGCAAATTTGTTGGTTGGAACTTTGATTAGTGAAAACAGTGGCACTTCATATTTGATCAGCACAAAAGCTTTGGAAAAGACAAATAAGTAATAATACCATTACAAGGTTTAGGTATTCACGAAGGTTTAACGAACTTTTTTGTTACAGAACCAGTTCCAGTTGAAAAAATTGGTCGAAAGTTATTTCGACAGAACTTCCCTCCCCCTGGTCTACAAGTCCAGTTTTTCGACAATCATTTGATTTTGCGAATTTAATTTTTTTTGATAGCCCTTATAAGTTAAAATAAATATATGTATTGTATGTAATATTAAAGGAAACATAAAAAAACATGCTACGCGTTTAATGCAAGTGAATACTGATTTTCAGAAGTTTAAGTCTGTTTTAGACAAAAATGTAGGTTTTAATACCTTGTCGCTTGTAAGTAAAATTTTTGGGAGGAGAATTTGTAGGTAAATGTGGATATAAATCCAGATATAATAGAGAATTTAACATTTGCTCCACTAACCTCTGTCGATGTTGAAAGATCGTTTTCAGTGTTAAAACATATATTTTGAAAAACATTAATAAATCAATTGGCTTAATAAAAATTATAGCTAAAATACAAATAGTGTGCAAACAGCATTTCCTTACATACTTAATTTAGTTATAATTTGAATTTTTACATTGCAAATAACGTTTTAAAACCTGTCCTTTCATAATAAATAGAGAGCGGATTTATAAGCACAAAAAAATTAAGAATAAGCGCTTAAATAAGCACAACATTTTCAATAAAAAAGTTTTATTTTAAGCAAAAAAGCATTAAATAAGCATAACACTTTCATTAAAAAAGTGATTCTACGACAACTGGTCGCAAACAATTGATCGCGCGACAATTGATCGCAAGCAACTCGTCGCAGCACAATTGGTCGCACGCGACAATTGATCGCGGTGACAATTGATCGCAGCGACAATTGGTCGCACGTAAATTGATCGCAGCGACAATAGATTGTACGTAAATTTATCGCAGCGTCAATTGATCGCAAGGTAAAATTCATCGGGAAGTATTTTCTTTTATTAAAACTAAATATTTTGTATTCTGAATTTTAAGTTGCAATAAATTTAGCAATCAGGTAAGGTGTAAATATCGAATTAAAAACAATTTGAATATAGATAAGTGACGAAGTTTGTAGTTGCACTTTAAAAATTAAAAAATACGAGCGTAAACACCTCGTTACATAAGATTTTTTATTAATAAATTGTCATTTTGGTTATTTTTTTTAAGAGATTGTTTCTATTTATCTCGTTGCTTATTTTACCTATTATATTATAGGAACTAGCTTCATTATAATAAGTACTCAACATAAAAACAAGTGTTTATTGTTCTTAACTAGACTACAATTATTTAAAAAATCATATTTTTAACAACCTTTAAATTTTAACACATTTTGATATAGAATTGCCTCTATTGTCTATTCTTGTCTTTATACATATCACCAAACAATAAAATTTATGAACTAATAGTACATCTAGAGTATCCATATGCAGCGAATGTAAATTCCACTGGACGGATATAATACTTATTTTAATCCCTTGTAAATTGCAACGGATCTTTTACAGGGTTTGAGAAAGGTTTACGTGTATTGTAAATATATATTGCAAAAACTTTTATTAGAGCGTCAAGAATAATTTTGTGTTACCGGGA